AATGAAACAAAAGTTGAAGTATAAACAAAAAGAGAAAAGTGTCAAATTAGCCCTAGTACTCTGTACGGGAAGTCAATTCAGCCCCCATACATATAATTTCGTCAATTAAATCCTCGTACTTTATGATTTTCGTCAAAACCGGCTTTTAGCAGGTAACCAGCTAGTCAGCAGGTTACCTGCTTATGTGGCACACATGGCGTGACACCACACACGTGTGTTGTGTGATTTTCTTTTCTTTTTCCGTTTTCTTTTTCCTTTCCCTTTTCTTTTTCCTTTCCCTTTTCTTCCATGGCCACCATTCTTCTCCTCCACTCCGTAAAAATGGAGGGTGCTTGCAAAATGGGAAAATGTGCAAATAGGCCCAATCAAGGAAAAGGTTTCCAAAACAAGCATCAGGAGTACAATTTATTCAATTTGATCATTCACGCTGACACGTGATTTGTCTATAACCAAGATCTAGAAAGGACTGGGTTTAAAAACCGGAAAATTGAAACTCGAACTAAAATAATTGAAAGCGCAACTAAATAAACCGAACAACAAAAAAAGTGCAACCAAATGTACTAAAGAGGCTGTTTGATTCAATTTCAATGTCAATTTCGGTCTTTCAAAACCTAACCGAATAAGCTGGATTAATTAAGTATTAAATTAAATTTTACGATAGTATGGCTGAGTTTGATAACGGATAGCGGTTAGCAGATAGTGGGTTATGTTAGCGGGTTGTCGATAGGGGATTCTGCCAGCGGAATTGACTTACGGAATAAGTTGGCGGGTTGCCAAAATATGTTTGGTAATTCAGTTGTTCGGCCATGAAATTAGTAGAAAATGTTAGGGGTGGGCGCGGTCCGGAACGGTCCAGGAAATTAGTAAAACCCATAATGTATCCGTGAGGTTTCTAACAGTCTGGTCCGGTCCGGGTCTAAGGATGAAATCATTCGGTACCATGTCGTTTTGGAACGGTACAAAACGGTACAATACAATGCCAAACACATGCTAAAAAATTGGACAAACTTGTAATTAATAAATAACATCACACCAACCAACTCATATTAAGTGTTGATATAAATACAAGAAATTGCATACATAGTACTAAACTTCACAAACACAAATAGTGCAACACAACTAAGAAAAAGTATAGCAAAATGATGATAAACGAGCTAAATATCATCTTTCATTTACTAACTTCATATGAAAATATAAAAAGAATATCATCAAATTGTTCAATATAATAGAAAAATTCAACGTTCTTTGTTCTAGGTTAAATATCAGTTCTAATTTAATTTATAGTCGAACAGTGAGAGCTAAGATTTAAACCACAGTAATTAAGTTTCACAATTGCACAAAAGTGATACATCAAAAAGTCATATACACTACATTACTAGAAATAAGTAGTCATTAGTGATCTTTAAAACTCTAACATTCTTTCAATACATAACAAAATATAACACAAAATTATCTAAAAAGAAAAAATAACAATATACATATAAACACACACATTTAGCTATTTTTGGGGACACAAGAATACATATTTGGGTATAAAATTGTTGGTCTATAAAACATATTTATTGGTATGGAAGAACATATTTTCGGTTCTCAAAATCTAGGATCAATCTCGTACCCGTTTCAAATGGTACGGTTTCAGTTCGGGATAAAAATCTATAGAACCGTTTAAATACCCAATATTCGGTTCAGTACCATTACGGGCCGGTTTGGTACCGGTTCGGTTCAGGTTTTATGCCCACCCCTAGAAAATGCAATATTTCGAAACGCTAACTCAAAACTCTCATATTCGCAGTGTTTTCATTTTAGTGGTTCCGTCCAAAAACGCTAGATCGAACAACTATTTTTCAAACACTAAAAGTGATCAAACCGCCATTTTTTGGCTGAAAAACCATTTTCCAAACACCCCCTATATGTTAACTGTTAAAGATTAATTCGAATGTCAGTGTTTTTATCAGGGGTGTTCATGTGAACACCCAAAAATAAAAAAACTGTGGGAATATATATATATATATCTAAGTTAGAGTAATAATTTATTTATTAGTATTTTAAAGAGAAAATGTATAATTTTAAACACCCAAAATGTAAGAGAGAATACCTCAAATAGGAGTAAAACATAGACAAAATGCAAAAATAGTAGTATTATGTTTTGAATAGGAGTAACTTTAGAAAAAAACTGCCATCTTTTGAGAAAATTGCAAACATTTTCTCCGAAATGTTGCACCACCAGCTCCGAAAAACGAAAAAAATGCCAACATTTTCCCGAAATGCTATCAAGATGACTGATTTTGAGAAAATTTGACATTTTCAAAGAGTAAACCTGCCATCTTTATGGCATTTTCAAAGAAAAATGGCAGAATAAAATGACATTTTTTTCACCGATCAGAGGTGACATTGTTGGGTGATGATCGAGGCTGCGAGAAAGGCCTGCATATTTTTTTTTATATTTTTTAATACAGTTTATCTATTTTTTTATTTATTTTTAAAGTTTTTTATTTTTACAAAAATAATTTTTTTAATTTTTAATATTTTAATAATGTTGGGATGAACTTAGATTATATTTAAAATTAAATGGTCCGCATAAAGGTATCGTTTCCGGTGAATGAACTTAGATTTTTTTAATAGACCAGGATCAAATAAGTTATATTTTAGAATTAACTAGGTTAGGGATATTAATTATACAAAATTAATATTTACTCCTATTAAAAGATGCTTTAAGTTTTACTCATATTTGTGCAATTATGTTTACTCCTATATTGGGCACTTTCTAAAAATGTAAATGTTAGGTCCGCCACCAGTGTTTAGTCTATGATTTTCTAGTGTTAGAAAAGTAATGTTCTGTGTTGTATTCCGTACTTGTTACAAATTTCTTATTTAAATAGTTAAATGGTATTATGGTTTAATTATGTTTATTAAATTCATTTACAATTGCATTACCTACGACAATAAGTTAATAATAATCCGTACAATCATACTCATTTTTTATGTTAGGTAGTGTTTTGCCATTTATAGTAAGTGAGAAGTACACTCGTACAATATTACTTGAATAAAGTGTTCTGCATTAAAGCTAACCGCAATTGAGCCCCGTCATTCAATTAAATTTCTTATCTATTTATATGTATTCACTTAAACATGGATGATTCAAATGAAAAATGGTCTTCCCGTGTAAAGTGTAAAGTTTTCATTTTTTCATGTTTCACTTGCATTTTTTTTGTTTGCGTTGCACTTTTTGGTCATTTTGATTTTGACCAAATTCGGCCAAAATGACGGTGACAATTTTGTAAATAAACCAATTTTTTTGAGCTACCACGAAAAAGTGCAACGAAATCAAAGAAAAATGCAAACGAAACATGAAAAAGTGTAAACTTTGCACTTTGCACGTCAAGACCACTTTTTATTTGAACCATCTCCCACTTAAACAATTCAGTTTTTATTGTAATATAGCGTAGCTGCGCAGTCAATATATATTCACTCAGCAAAGTATTTTTAATTAAAGTCTTAGTTTTATTATTATACATTTTTTTTTTGTAAATAATTATGATTTTAAAAGTCAAGCATTCTGATGTATAAATAAATAATTCTAAAGTTCAATTTTATTGTTGTAACTTCATACTTATTTCCAAATTAAAGACTAAGAGATCTAAAAAATTATATTTTAATCGTTAGATCTTAATTTTAGTAGATAAATCTATTTAAGAAAATTTTGGATCTAAAAATCTACAGTGTTGAAATTTCATATTGATGTCATATAAAAGATCATAAGAAGTTATTAATTTTCGATAAATTCGTATCCTTTTATAAAAAATGTAGTACAAATAAAAAAAAATTCTCTTAAAAGAAATTGAGATTTAGGTAGTATATTTTGTAGTGTTCCATTTTGTTCACTCCCTTCATGGAGGGTGAACACCACCCTCTCCCTCCAATACATGTCACTTGACATTACAAGTATTCTTTTTTCTAAAATTAATATAACATTTTATATATAATTTAATTTTTCACAAAAAATATACTACTTATCAATATTGAAAAAAACATCTTTTTTTCTTACATCTATTTTAAGTCGTTTTTTTAAATTTTACGTATACAATATTGGTATCATATGAAAGATTATAAAAAATTAAGAATATTGATATATCTTTTGAAAAACTTGAACCAAAAATGGAAAAGTTAGAACAATTGCAAAATTTAAAAGTATTGACATGACACGTGACAGCCCAATAGAGGTGAAACACGTTCACCCTCTTTTGAGGGGTGAACAAAATTGTTCTCTATTTTGTATGGGCACACTATCTTTTTTTACCCGCAGACAACTGTTTTAGCAGCAACCTACTACCCCTGGCTTCTATCCTCTGTCAATAACTAAGTTGATTTTCTACCGAAGAGTGCCCCAAACCCACTTTGACACTCTTGAATTTTAGGATACGTTTGGTTGGAGTGAATATTTTATAGGAATGTGATGCCTGGAATGTGAGATACATTTGTTTGGTTCGGGGTTTGATTTTTTTTTGGAATATTACATTCCCAAAAAGTGAAAAAGTAATCACATGGCCCTCCATGTGAAACCCACTTAGGTCTTAGGATTTGTGACATTCGTGATTGCTTTTTAATTTTATTCCACAAATACCCCTCTTCATTACACTACAAAAAAGCACGGGATTGACTGAGATTTTGCCAGGGATTTGGCAGAGATTTTGGCAGGGAAATGCCAAATACGTGCCAAAAACACTTTGTCACGAGCTATTTGGCACGAAAAATTGATAAGTCCGTGCTAAATTTCGTGTCAATCCCGTAATTTTTTTGTAGTGTTAATAAGAGGACATTCACTTGCTTTTTGCTACTAATGTTCACTAATCTTTATTATTTGTGTAATTAAACATTGTTGAAGTTAAGTCCCGTAGATCCGAAAGCCCAACACGAACTTTGGATATATCAGGAATGGATCAGAATCAAAGTGTATAACAAAATATAAAAGATGAATCAACTAATACCCAAAAACCCACTTGTATTAATTAACCTGTTTGATTACAAGGAAACTTCCCGATCGGTAGGTCGGAATAGTGCGTTTAATACAAGAAACAAGAGTAATAATGCTATTCTAGAGCTTGAGTATCAAAATCCTAACCCTTACAATGATATTAAACCTTCTATTTATACTAATGGAGAGCATGGGCGCCTCTATGCTGATTGGCCGTTGTTCCACCGACTTGATCACCCATGTTTCCACTTGTTGATGTCACAATCTGGCATTAAATGCACCTGGCCACTTGCTGGTTGTCCGTTGCTCGAACGGGATGCTGGATCATGCAGATGACGCTGTCAAATTGGCCCAAGTATGATGTATGGTCCGAACTCCGTTCGGTATTTCTGCTTTCTGGGCCGGCCTCTACTCGGACCGAACCTCGTTCGGTATGGATTCTTCACTGGGCCTACTCATCATAGGGTACTGGACTCTTTGTTTGGGCTGGATATCCTGGGCCTTTTTAATCTGGGTATTGGGCCTCCGGGTCAATATCCCAACACAAGTCCCTCACTTCCGATGTCTCGAATGACAGTGAATGCATTAGGAAGTATAAACACCAATGTTGCAACTGCCGAATGGCGATCGGGGTACAGAAGTGGTCAGTTCCCCATATTGTGATTTGATGGATGTCGTTTTATTTTCCCCATATTCATCATGATTACTGTTGTTAGTCGTTTCATTAGACACACGTTTAGCTTAAATGGTTCTAGTGACGTGTCGCTCCCTGATTGGTCCTCGATACGGCGGTTTTAAGGCTATAAATTAGCCTTTAACTTCTCAATTCCGGGTTTCGAATTTTCAATTTCCTTCGCATCGTTGCTCTGTTTCCGAAATTTCTTCAAGCTTTCGCGTTCAGGTACTTTCTCTCCCTCTACTTTCTTACTTCATTTCTGGCTCGGTCGAGATGAGTTCTCAACCGCATTCCCCTGATTCGGAAATGGCCTCTCAAGGGGATGACCGTGATGCTGCCATTGTGGACGTCATTACAGTTCCATCCGCCGGCGGTTCTACTGAAACGGCGACAAATACTAGGGCGGAGGACCTTTCTAGCAATTCATCTTCCTCCGGTGAAAGCTCTGATGGCACGAAATCCGAGGATGAAATGGATTTAATGGCGGCCAGGCGCCCAAACGATGTCCCTCGTCACACACTCGACCTAAGTTTAATTAGGGCAAGACGGCAAAAATTGACTGCCACTAATAGGGCTGAGATTCCGGCCCTAATCCCAGACCCAGTGGACTTCCGGTTGCGAGCTGGGCTTCATCCCCTGCGTCACGCCCCCGGGATGGTCGTAGTCCATTTCGATTCAGTTAGGGCTGGGCTTAGATTTCCGTTACACTCATTTTTTGTTTCATTTTTCAATTTTTACGAAATTGTATCTGCCCAAGTCATGCCGAACTCCTATCGGGCCATGGCGGGCTTTATTTGTCGTTGCAAAGATGTCGGTGCCTCACCGACCCTAGATTTATTCCATCAATTTTTTAAAGTAGCCCCCCAACAAACTCATGGGTATCTAGCCGCCAGTTCTCGAACGGGGCATATTCTTTTCAAGGGTAATCCAACCTCAATCAAGGGATGGAAAGATAGGTTCTTCTTCGTGTCTGTCCCGGACGGGCTGATCCCTTGCAAATGGAACGCCTTCCCTCGCAAGACTCCCGACCCGGTTCTTTCTGAGGAAATCTACAAGGATGTACTTGCTGTGGAGAAAGACAAGTGTTGCGATATCATGACCTACCTGACTCCCAATCGGCTTGTTAAAGCCGAGATAGGTACTGCCCGTTCTCTTTGGTTTACTTGCTTTGAGAAATCAAGTGCCATGGTCCGAGCGGTCCTTCCCGTGCGAGAAACGTTTTCTTTTTCTTTTTGTTTCCCACGTGATAAGGTCCGCTCGGTACTAATATTTTCCTTTGTTATTTTTTAGCTCTCAACCCAGACGTACCTTTGGACAACAGTAGAGTTCTTGCAGCTGGTGGGGTCGGCAAACGGAAGAAAGCCAGGAAGAACCCCCAACCTACTCCTTCCACAATTACCGTTCAGGATGCTGGAACTTCTCAACCCGTTCCAGAACCATAACCACTGCAACAGGTTCATCAGGACCAATTTGATGCCATGCTGGTCGACGATCGGTTTGGTTCTGATCAGATGCATCGATTTCCTGAGCACTTCTAGGCTGCTCAGGAGACTGGTCAGGGTGCGGGTGATATGCCCACCGTCCATCTGTCTTGCCAGGTCGACCGGATCTCACTGGCGGATCCGGTTCATGAAGTTGTAGAAAAAGGTGGATGTTCGGCAAGCCAGATTTGGTCTACCTCCGTTTTCTTCAACAATTTCACTGTTCCCACGCTGTCGGTCGAGCAATCTGAGGAATGCTTGGCCTTAGCAGCCCTGAAGGTATTTTACTTTTTTCCCTATATTTTTCTCATAGTTTAAATTTCCTTTCACACCATCTCATTTCTCGAACGACATTCTGCAGGTTGGGCTTTACAGTTGCAACTGAAAGAGGCTCGACTGGCTAAAGAGCGGGATCTGATCGTCTCTCAGACTTCTGCGGAGCAGAATGCACCTGCTGCTTTTGCTGCTCTGGAGACCGAACGGAAGGCCTCTGCGGAGGAGAAAAAATGCCTTGAGTCGGAGCTTGGTGAACTCAGGGTTCAGCTCGGGGCCTTCCAAGCCAAAGTTCATGCTGCTGAAGCTGCTTTGGTGAAGTTCGAAGAGTGCGCTCCCCGTATCCCGAACGGCCCAGCTGAGGTGAAGGTTGATCTGTCCGCCGTCCGGGAAGCATTCAAAGGATCTGAGGAGTTTGCTGTCTTGAAAAAGGATTACGCGCAGTAGGAACTCCTAGTCACCTTTGGTGATTATCTCGAACGATTCTCCACGGGTGATGCCCGCCGCAGTGAGGGGGTCAAACTGCTCGATCAGGATCCAAGTGGCAAAAAATTCAATGACTCCCTGGCCCGATCTCTTTATGTCATGGGCTGCCAGCATATTATGGCCCCTTTTGTTGCTAAGCTGTAAGAATTAATAGGGAGGCCGGTCGAGCTGGCTGATCTTCCCCAGGCGCCCATTGTCGAAGCTCAATATGAAAAATATCAACGGGACTTGCAACGGGCTGCTGATCGTGAAGCGGGGTGAGAGCCTGATCCCCCTACTGATTCGGATGAGGAGGAAGTGTTAGTATATATGTCATAGCGACAATCATTTCTTTAAAGACATATGTACTTGATCACATTTAGTTTTTATATTTGATATATACACGGTATTACACTTTATGAATGATTGTTTTCGATTGTCAATGTTTTATTCATAATTGTGTTCCCTTGGATTTATGTTGTCAATAAGTAAGTGGGAGCTTATATGATATAACATAAGGTCCTAAAATAGCCCCAATCAATGATCATCAAGAATGGGATATTGATGATATACGATAAGATTGGTATGTGGACTGCATCATACTTTTAGAAAGTATAGTTGATCTCACGACTATGAGTTCCTGTAATTCATGATGGTCACATAGATATTTTAGAGAATATTGGCATACCCACCGAGAAACCATTTGATAAGTTCTATTCATGTGTCTATGGGATTATCGGCGTATAGAGTAGTGTAATAGTCCTCCGACTTGAGGTCAATACGTACTACATGTGCGGAGTGATGTACTTTGACCATGACCAACGCTTGCACTCCAATCGGGGTAGATACGGCATGTGTTGGGTGCATCACGAAGCACATGGAGTAGTAGTTGAGCCAAGAAAGGATTCATTCCTCATAATAGATTAAGAGAGAACATTCTACTTCTCATATCTAGATGGATCATAAAGTCATTGGCCAATGCAAAGATATATTCGTTTTGGATATCGAATATGATCGTTATGGATCATCTAGAAAGATTGAGAGACAGAGACTGAGTTATTGGGATAGACACTATATCATGTTCTAGACTTAGTTGAATGTTCGCTGAATGAAAGGACTGTATCACTATGAGCTCTATATTACAGGGAGTTTGTATAGTCCTCGCAAACGTCCTTATATATTAAGTTTGTCTGGAGAATCGTCTAGGGATTCGCTAAGACCTTAATTTGATTAGTGCTTAATATATAAGGCCCTATGGGTCACACAACAAGTGATTATACCTTCCGATTGAATTGTTAGAAGGAATTAAATATTATTAATTGGATTAAATAATATTTAATTCGTAATACTGAAAATGAATTAAATATTAATTAGATTAAACATATTTAATTCATGAAGCTGAAGGAGAGTTCTATTTGATAGAATTAATTAAGTAAGATAAATTAGATTTATCATACTTAATTAAGATGTATTTATTATTAAATAAAGTAGATATTTTCTTTTGTAATTTGGAATTAAAAGAAAAGTAAATAAAATAAATATTAATATATAATAATTAGAAAGTGGCGTGCAGCCACATCTCAATTATTATTATTATTTTGTTTTGTTTTATCTACTTATTTAATTAATTAGGAGTATTGGTCCTAGTAGGATTAGAACTCATTAATTAGAAAGACTTTCATTGTGATTGGGAAACTAGTTTCGAACTAGTATAAATACATCCTTCTCCTTCATAATTAGAGACCAGTTTTAAGATTCAGTATTACCAGTTTATTTCCCTGCAAAGAGATTTCCTAGTCTTTCTCTTAGGGAGATCTAACCGTTCTTTCGGAAAGGAGAAATCACGTGGATACCAAAGGTCAAGGATTATCACCGCTAGGCTGGAAGATCTGTAAGTTCTAACTCAGATCTGTTATTATTATCATATTCGTTATTTTGTCATAATCAGAAAGATCTGTTTGGGAAAATTTTAAACTTCCGCTGCCGTACTTTCGAGGTACGTTACATCAATTTCCTAACAGTGGTATCAGAGCCAAACTGATTTTAATGGCATTATACGAATTTTCATAGATATGTTCGTAGGACAAGAATATATATTTTTTAGAAACTATATTTTTGTCCTAATCTTATTTTCGAAATCAGTTATATCTGGAATCTAAAATTATTTTCCAGTATGATTTTTGAGATCAGATTTTATGTTCTTAAAACAGCACAATCAAATAATTTGGAATTAGCTATAAAATTTGATTTTAGAAAGTGAAATCCGAAAAGATCTACTGCAAGTAGTCGATTTCCGTTGCATCTTTCTTTTCTTTCCTTATCGATCGATCTGCAATCGATACTTGTCCGCGTTCCTTCTAGACAAACACTGTCTCTTGGAGAGAAACGAAAAAAACCACGAACAACGATGACCTTCACCTGAAAAAAAGCCTGGACGTACTCATGAAGAAGACAGAGGAGACGCAATAACATAGTTTTCAGCAGGCATGGATGATTGTTTTACTGCTACCGTCCTCGACTGTCCAAGCCAAGTCTTCATCCTAAAACAAAGACTAATGGAAGTCTTAGTTTTAAATTTTGAGTTGCATGCTTTGGGGGGCATTTTTGAAATTCTCCATTTTTTAAGGAAAAGAATTGGTGTTTCTCATGTAGTCACGTTTTTGTAGAAAACGTTTTTGACATCCACTTAAATTGATCAATTCAAATTAGTTATTAATGGAGTCCCTGTTTTACTTATAGTAAAATACGAAGTACTTAAATTCGTAGATTGTTACTCCGTAGTACTTAGTGGAAGTCTCAGAGACTATCGTCCGGTAAAGTTATTGGTTATAATTATAATTATAATTATAATTATGGTTGAGTTAAAATTTAATCAATAACTATATTACCATAAGCTTGCTTTTAATTTAATTGTTTGATTATTGTATTTGTTTATAAATTAGATTTATATTACATGCTTTAAATTATCTGTCTGAGTTAGATCTCATTAACATATTATTATTTGATAATATGTCGTTAGCATCTTGATTAAATAAAGTAATTTAATACCCCGCTAAATGTTCCCCATAATTTAAAATTTAAGTCTTATCTGGGATAACGACATCACCCATCATAATTAAATTAGTAGAAATATTTTTTCGTTGAAGAATATTTCACCCAAGTGTTTATTCCATTCGACAAAATATAGAACTAATTTATAGATACATATGTTTGTGATCGTGTGATGGTTTTGACTTACTTAAATTAGCTCGAGTCGCCCAAGCGTCAGTGTTAATGTAAGGATGTCGATCAATTTAAAAACAAAATTGATCAACCAAAAGTTGTTTGGACGCAATTGGTCTGGGGACCTACCCATTATATTATTGCAGTGATCAGCCCAAGCTGGGACTGTAATAGTATGAATGAGGATTTTGGCCACTATGATTGCAAAACATTCCATGTTCCTTTTATTGGGGTCAAAGAGCATGTAAAAAATAGTGGGAGCTAAATAATTAAAAGTCCATATTATTTAGTTAACTAGATGTGATCATAGGAATTAATATATGATTTTAATTCCGTTCTATTTGAACTTCTCTAGGCTTTTTAGGTATGTCGAATTTATCATTGAGAAGTATCTTGGATACAAATAATCTGATTGAACCAAACTTTCTAGACTTGGAACAAAATATGCGTTTCGTTCTTAGGCAAGAAAATATCGAACATGTATTTGATACATGTGTACCCGAGATCCTTGATGTTAGTCCTTCTGAATTAGCCATGTTTGACAAGGACATTCAGAAGAATCACATTGCTGAGGTACCAAATGATGTATGTCTCTACTGCAAAGAGACAGGACATTGGAAGAGAGATTGTGAGATATACAGGACTAATCTAGCCAAAGCACCGAGTGCTTCTAGCTTAGGCATTTTTATCATTGATATTAATATGTCTACAACTAACTCTCACTGTTGGGTATTAGATACGGCTTGTGGCTCACACATTTGCAATAGTGTGCAAGGCCTAAATGACAGTAGAGCAGTTAGGCTGGGTGAGATTGACCTACGTGTAGGAAATGGAGCAAAAGTTGCTGCTGAACGTGTAGGGACTTATATATTAGATTTACCCAGTGGTTATAGATTAGAACTAAATAATTGTTATTTTGTTCCTTCTATAACAAAGAACATAATTTCCATTCCTATGTTAGACATTGAGGGTTTTTCTTTTCATTTTGCTAATAACACTTGTTGTTTTTCACAAAATGGTATTGTGTATGGAAATGCTCCTCTTATGAATGGTTTATATGTTCTTAATTGTAGACATGACATATTAAATGTACAAAATAAAAGACCAAGGTTAAGTAATCTGAAAAATACCACATATCTTTGGCATTGTAGGCTTGGTCATATTAATGAAGCTAGAATAACAAGGCTAAGTAAATTAAATTACTTAACGCCATTTGATTTTGAATCATATGGTAATTGCGATTCGTGTCTCTCAGCTAAAATGACGAGTAAACCTTTTCTTGGAAAAGGACTACGGGCCAAAGAAGTGCTTGAATTGGTTCACACAGATGTGTGTGGACCATTCCCAACTCAAGCTAGAGGAGGTTTTTCTTACTTCATCACGTTTACTGACGATTTCTCTAGGTTTGGATTTGTGTATCTTATGAAACACAAATCAGAAGCTTTTGAGAAATTCATGGAGTATAAGGCTGAAGTAGAGAAGCAACTTGACAAGAGTATCAAGACTCTACGATCTGATCGTGGAGGGGAATACTTGAGTAAGGAGTTTCTCGATTACTTAAAAGGTCAGGGAATTCAGTCACAATGGACTCCTCCAAGAACACCTCAATTGAATGGTGTCTCTGAAAGGAGAAATAGAACCTTGTTAGACATGGTTAGGTCCATGATGAATTCCACGTCTCTTCCAACATCTCTTTGGGGGTATGCATTGCAAACTTCGATATACATTCTGAATAGAGTTCCATCTAAATCAGTGCAAAAGACACCATATGAGTTATGGTGTAATAAGAAGCCTGTTCTTTCACATATTAAAGTGTGGGGTTGCCCTTCTTATGTAAAGAAATTGCACACTGATAAGTTAGGAGCTAGAAGTGAGAGATGTTATTTTGTGGGGTATCCTAAAGAAACAAGGGGATATTATTTCTATCACCCTGAGGAACATAAAATCATTATTTCCAGACAGGCACGATTCCTAGAAGAAGACTTGGTCTTCAAGAAATTCAATCGTGAGAAGATAGTACTAGAAGAAATTCAAGAATCACAAAATAACATAGAGGATGAAGACTTGTTAGATGGTCAAAACAAGGATTCAGTGAGAGGATTAAGCGGAAGTATGTCTCTAGGAGGATATCCTTCAGCTAGTGGGAGTAATATAGGAAGCACCTCGCACCAGCAAGTGGTTCCTATTAGGCATGAAAGAAATGACATGGTTGTCATTCCTTCTGCACCTACTTCTCCTTCTCTGGAAACACTTAAAAGTGTAGCACCAGAAAATTCTCCGAGCATTGGACAGTCCAATGCAAGAGAACCTCTTCACAATCAGAATGAGCAGCCTGAACAATCGCAAAATATTCAACTTCGTAGGTCTACTAGGATTCGTCATGAACCAACTAGGTTTGGCTTCCTCATGGAGGATCATGATGATGTTGAAATTCCTGACAAGGATGAACCTAAGACTTACACTGAAGCAATATTAGATATTGATTCAGAGAGGTGGAAAGAAGCCATGAAATCTGAAATGGACTCGATGTATATCAATCAAGTATGGAACTTGGTTGACTTGCCTGTTGGGGTTAGACCCATTGGATGCAAATGGGTTTTCAAGAAGAAAATTGATGCCGAAGGCAAGGTGCAAACATACAAAGCTAGGCTAGTGGCTAAAGGTTATAGTCAAAGAGAGGGAATTGACTATAGTGACACCTATTCGCCAGTTGCAAAACTCAAGTCCATTCGAATTTTGCTTGCGATAGCAGCATACTATGATTATGAAATTTGGCAAATGGATGTCAAAACTGCTTTCCTTAATGGAAACCTCAAGGAGGAGGTGTACATGGTACAACCTGAAGGTTTTATATCCAAGTCAAATCCCAAATCAGTATGTAAATTGGAGAAATCCATATATGGGCTAAAGCAAGCCTCAAGGAGTTGGAATATCCGTTTTGATGAAGCGGTCAAATCGTTTGGCTTCATCAGAATCAATGAAGATGCGTGTGTATATACAAAACGCAGCAAGGATAGCGTGGTCTTTATGGTCATATATGTTGATGACATTCTGATCATAGGGAATGATATCCCCTTATTGAAGTCCGTGAAAGAATGGTTATCCAATATCTTCATGATGAAAGATCTAGGTGAAGCCTGTTATATCCTTGGGATTAAGATCTATAGAGACAGAGTTAACAGGATGTTAGGTCTTTCACAATCCACGTATATTGACAAAATACTACATCGATTTAAAATGGAAGAATCTAAGAAAGGATTCCTCCCGATGGGTCATGGGATATCGTTATCAAAGAAGGATAGTCCTTCAACTGATGATGAGATCAAACGCATGAGAGGGATTCCATATGCTTCTGCAATTGGTTCAATCATGTATGCTATGATCTGTACTAGGCCAGATGTGGCTTATGCGCTTAGTATTGTTGGTCGATATCAAAATAATCCAGGAGAACGGCATTGGAGTGCTATTAAGACTATTCTTAAGTATCTTAGACGAACTAAAGAATATTTCTTGGTTTATGGTGGACAAGAGAAACTAATAGCATCTGGTTACTCTGACGCTAGCTTCATGACAGATAAGGATGACTATAAGTCACAATCAGGATATGTTTTTAATCTCAATGGAGCAGCAGTTGACTGGAAGAGTTCCAAGCAAGACACTACAGCTGATTCGACAACAGAAGCCGAGTACATTGCTGCATCAGAAGCAGCTAAAATGGCCGTATGGATACGTGAATTCCTCAAAGAATTAGGGGTTGTTCCAAATGATAGTCATCCATCAACCATTTATTGTGACAATACTGGTGCTGTTGCACAAGCAAAGGAACCAAGATGCGACAAGAGGAATGGACATGTGCCGAGGCGCTATCATGTGATTCGAGACCAGATAGCAAGAGGAGAGGTTCCAATAGAACGTGTTTCCACTGAGGACAATTTGGCTGATCCCTTCACCAAACCTTTGAGCTGTGAGAAACATACTAGACATTTTGAGAATCTAGGTGTTAGACGCATTGGTGATTGGCACTAGGCCAAGTGGGAGATTGTTAGTATATATGTCATAGCGACAATCATTTCTTTAAAGACATATGTACTTGATCACATTTAGTTTTTATATTTGATATATACACGGTATTACACTTTATGAATGATTGTTTTCGATTGTCAATGTTTTATTCATAATTGTGTTCCCTTGGATTTATGTTGTCAATAAGTAAGTGGGAGCTTATATGATATAACATAAGGTCCTAAAATAGCCCCAATCAATGATCATCAAGAATGGGATATTGATGATATACGATAAGATTGGTATGTGGACTGCATCATACTTTTAGAAAGTATAGTTGATCTCACGACTATGAGTTCCTGTAATTCATGATGGTCACATAGATATTTTAGAGAATATTGGCATACCCACCGAGAAACCATTTGATAAGTTCTATTCATGTGTCTATGGGATTATCGGCGTATAGAGTAGTGTAATAGTCCTCCGACTTGAGGTCAATACGTACTACATGTGCGGAGTGATGTACTTTGACCATGACCAACGCTTGCACTCCAATCGGGGTAGATACGGCATGTGTTGGGTGCATCACGAAGCACATGGAGTAGTAGTTGAGCCAAGAAAGGATTCATTCCTCATAATAGATTAAGAGAGAACATTCTACTTCTCATATCTAGATGGATCATAAAGTCATTGGCCAATGCAAAGATATATTCGTTTTGGATATCGAATATGATCGTTATGGATCATCTAGAAAGATTGAGAGACAGAGACTGAGTTATTGGGATAGACACTATATCATGTTCTAGACTTAGTTGAATGTTCGCTGAATGAAAGGACTGTATCACTATGAGCTCTATATTACAGGGAGTTTGTATAGTCCTCGCAAACGTCCTTATATATTAAGTTTGTCTGGAGAATCGTCTAGGGATTCGCTAAGACCTTAATTTGATTAGTGCTTAATATATAAGGCCCTATGGGTCACACAACAAGTGATTATACCTTCCGATTGAATTGTTAGAAGGAATTAAATATTATTAATTGGATTAAATAATATTTAATTCGTAATACTGAAAATGAATTAAATATTAATTAGATTAAACATATTTAATTCATGAAGCTGAAGGAGAGTTCTATTTGATAGAATTAATTAAGTAAGATAAATTAGATTTATCATACTTAATTAAGATGTATTTATTATTAAATAAAGTAGATATTTTCTTTTGTAATTTGGAATTAAAAGAAAAGTAAATAAAATAAATATTAATATATAATAATTAGAAAGTGGCGTGCAGCCACATCTCAATTATTATTATTATTTTGTTTTGTTTTATCTACTTATTTAATTAATTAGGAGTATTGGTCCTAGTAGGATTAGAACTCATTAATTAGAAAGACTTTCATTGTGATTGGGAAACTAGTTTCGAACTAGTATAAATACATCCTTCTCCTTCATAATTAGAGACCAGTTTTAAGATTCAGTATTACCAGTTTATTTCCCTGCAAAGAGATTTCCTAGTCTTTCTCTTAGGGAGATCTAACCGTTCTTTCGGAAAGGAGAAATCACGTGGATACCAAAGGTCAAGGATTATCACCGCTAGGCTGGAAGATCTGTAAGTTCTAACTCAGATCTGTTATTATTATCATATTCGTTATTTTGTCATAATCAGAAAGATCTGTTTGGGAAAATTTTAAACTTCCGCTGCCGTACTTTCGAGGTACGTTACATCAATTTCCTAACAGGAAGGTGATGAAGAAGAGAAATAGAGAGGCCTCTGGTCAGTAGATTTAGAATCTCGTATTTTAGCAATTGTAATTCCTTCCCCCCTTCTCCGTTTTTTGCAAATCCTATTTGTACTTTCCGGCCGATAGAGCCGATGAGTATATATATGATCTGTTTTGCACAAAGCTTCACATATTGTCTTTCTTGCCTTTATTGATTGATTGCTTACCATTCGTGATTCGGTCCGTTTTATAGGACTTAACAGTTTTCTGACCTCATTTTTTACTTAACATTCCTATCACCGTTTGATTGCCGCTCGGGCATCAGATAGTTCTGACAATTTACCAGGACTTGGCCCCTTTCTTTTTGTGTTGACAGTCGTTCGGGCTTCCAATCATTTTTTAGGACTTAGCAGTTTTTTCTGGCCTCAGATGTTTACGACAGTTTACCCGCATTTGGCCTCCTTCTTATGTTTATAGCCGTTCGGGCTTCTGATCATTTTTTAGGACTTAGCAGTTTTTTTTGGCCTCATATGTTTCCGATAGTTTACCCACATTTGGCCTCCTTCTTATGTTGATAGCCGTTCGGGCTTCTGATTATTTTTTAGGACTTAGCAGTTTTATAACCAGCAATTTAGTGTGATCTTTGCTAATTCTCTGTGAGACCGTTCGTCATTCGGCTAATTTGAAACATCTTAGTCATTTGGCTCGATGTTCGTTACTTGGCCAGTTGGATAATATTTAGCTGTTCTCATGGACCTTGTTGCATTTCTTTGTGTGACCGTTCGAGATATAACAGGTTTCTTATGGATGCCTTCCTTTGGTTGTTCGTTGTTCGGCCAAATGTGAAAGGAATTGGCCGTTCTGACCTTCCTTTATCCACCTTTGGCCTGCCATTCGTTGTTCGGCCAGTTGATACACATACCTGAAATAAACATTCGTTCGATCTTGTTGGAAAATATTGCCTGATTAAACAGTACTTGCAACCATGTTTCTTCATTGCCCGTTCGGGGTACGTGCCTAACAATGAGCCATAAATAAGCCCTGATTAATCATAACCACATAATGCCACGTGTTGTTTATGGATTAGGGTTTTGGGCGGCATTTTCCCTATTTATAGAGAGGTGCTTGTCCCTCATTTTTCTTTTTGTTTCTTTAGTTTTTCTCTCGTGTATCTCCAAGCTTTCTCTCTCTAGAATTTTCAGGATTCATCAAGTGGTTTTATGTATTTTCCTTCGAGCTCAGAATCTGAGGAAATGCCGTTGATTCGTGTGGGAAAAACTTCTGCTCGGAACAAGGCCGAAGGCTCTTCTTCCCAAGTACCTAATTCCAACAATTCTCTCACAGGAAAAGATACCGAACAGCTTCGTGATGACGGATGCCTCTCAGGGGACGATGTACAAATCTAAAACAAAGGAATGCCCGAGCGGCCACCCCGCATTGTCCTGCACTTCAATCGTATTCGCAAACAGAAACAACGTCTTCCTGAAGATGCCGAACGACAACTTTGCAACCTATTGCCTCCACCAAGAGAATTTTACGCTGGATTTATCAGGCATCCGATGAGGCACCGACCGGGACACGTGCTAGTGCATCTTGATTCATTGATTGCCGGGCTTCGCTTCCCTCTTCACCCATTCGTTGTGGAGTTCCTGTGTCGGGTTTCCGTACTTCCCGCTCAGTTCATACCCAACACCTACCGCATTCTGACTGGCTTTATAATCCGATGCCAGGAACTGAGGATCGCTCCAAGTGTTGATTTATTCCTACACCATTACTGTTATCAGCCTTATTGGACGACCGGGTACTTGAAGCTGGTAGCCCGAGCTGATCGTTAGTTTTTTACAGATAATCCTACCCCGCCGGCTGATTGGGAGGAGCGATTTCTATTCGTTCGTATAGGTGATTCTCTCCCATTTCCTGATCGGTGGAACGCTTACCCCGTTCGGGATTCTCAGCCCAGAATAGATGTCGTTCTGCGCTTTCAAGCTGAATCTCTGCGTATGGGAGGAACTCGGAGTCTTCGGGGTTTTATTACCCCTTCAAATATGCTATCTGATGGGATTGGTAAGTGTAACAGGGTTTTAACCCGATCGTTCTCTTTTTAATTTAGTTTCTTACCTCTTATTCCCTTTGTTGTAGGTGTGATATCCTCTATACCCGTTCGGCGTTCCATATCTGCCGCTACTCTGACAGCTTCCTCTGGTAAAGGCAAGGAGAAGGTGGTTGCTGATCATGGCTCTTCTGAGCAAACCCGGAAGAAACGTAGAGGGAATGATGGCAGCACACTGATCCCGGTCGATCATGTGGTTGATTTGACTGGAACGGAGGCTGAGCCAAAAAGATCTGTGCCTGCCAAACCAAAAACTCCAGTTCTTTCTGATACACCGACCGACGATCGGATGTTTCTTGAGTTTTCAAACATGGGGTCTAGAGTAGAAGGAAGATACCTGTTCGGGCTAATGCCATCATCCATGTGGTGCAGCACTTCGCTGAAGGTTCCCCCTAGTTTCACAAACCTGACTCACTATTCAGATCTACTTGAGGCAGGTCATCAAGAGGCACTCAAGGTATACTTCATTTTGATCCATACTTTCCTACTTTTTATTTGTTCATCTTATCTGACTTCGTTTGCCACTTGTCTTCAGGCCGGTGTATATTATCACAAGGCTTTCCTGGCGGCCGAAAAGTAAATGAAACTCCTGGCCAGCGATCGGGACGATAGCTAGGTCCTCCTTTCCGCTGCTCGGAAATTAGCTGCAGATCTACAAGAACGTGCCAAAGAAGGTGAGAAAGCGAAGGCTGCTCTAGCTGCGATGCAAGAGAAGACCCGACGTCGCGATCGGGAGATTAAAGAACTTCGGGCCAAGGTGTGGGCTGCTGAATCTGCCAGGGTAAAGTTTGATAAGGTCCTTGGTGACAATCTTCCCGAGCCTTATACTGCCAACACTTCCCAGATTGCCAATCAATCAATAGTTGACTATCAACGGGGTAAAGGGCTGAACGTCGCTCTGGAGAATATAGCCCGACAATTCCTGGGACCTCATCTTGGCCAATTTTTGCGCGAAAGCGAAGATCCTGTTAAGGCAGGCATCGATCTCCTAGATAGCACACCGGAAGGGAAGTCTTTTCTAGATGTCCTGACCGAGAAAACTGTGACACAAAGTCAGGATATGTTTTTAGATAGGAACCTTGATCTGATCCTGGAGCATTTCCCTAAGCCATTCGATCCTGATGAGTTGGGATTTGATGATCTGTTCGGGAATACCTACGATCGGGTTATCGAAAAGAGAAAAGAAGCAGTGCCTGATGATGCAGCACAGGCAGGGAGCTCCTAACCTTCATCTTCCCCGAACGGCAATCCTCCAGTAGCATAACCTTTGTATATTTATTTTTCGTCTTCTCTTCTTTTTTCTTTTGTATCTTCCGGCTAGTAGTGTTGAAGAATAAATTGGATATTCTCCTTTAACCGTGTTGACATATTGCTCTTCTGTTTTTTTTTTATTTTTGTCATTTCTCTCGCTCATAATATTTTCTGTGTTGTCGAACATCACTCAGCTCATGTATCTCTATATTTCTGACATTGTTTCCAAACCGTTTTGATCCCTCTGTTCAATCGTAAGTCCAGGGTCAAATTCTTTTGGCTGAAATAATGTCTTCCTCCAAACCGTTCGTCATTCGGTCATCTCTCTGAAAATTCTGATTCTGCGAACGACAATCCATGTTACCGAACGTCGTTCGTTTTGACAATACTTGTTCTGACACCCTTCCCAAGCCGGTTTTGATCCCTTTATCGTTCGTGATCCACGGGGTCAAAAATCTTTTAGCTGAGGTGAATCCCTCCAAGCCGTTTTGATCGTGATCACAGGGTCAAATTTTCAGCTGAGATGGCGGCTCCCTCGTAACTGTTAAACCGTTCATCATTCGGTCATCCGGAATGATCTCACGTGTTAACAAGCTGAGGTGAGACTCTCTCTCTTCCAAACCCATAATTCCGATGCATTCCGAACAATTCTTTCTGGCTCGTATCATACATATTAGGGGTCTGAGGTAACCCTTTTCAAACTGTAAGCAAGGTCATCGGATCGGGTTATTCCTTACTTATAGCTAAAAGGGCGACTCGCTTCCAAATCAAGTTAATGACTGAGGCGAGATTTTTCAAAACCATAGTTCCGATTCCCCGGACGACAATCCGTACTTTATCCGAACGTCGCTCGGTCCGTCCATACTTATAGCCTTGACACCATCTCCAAGCCGTTTTGATCCCTTTGTCCGGTCGTAATTACAGGGTCAAATTCAGTTAGTTGAGTTGATGGCTCAGCTCCCTCCAAACTGTTAACCCGCTCCTCATTCTGTCATCCGGAATGATTCTGCGTGTTAAAAGCTGAGGTGAGATTCCCTGACATCAAACTCCAAGCTGTTTTGATCCCTTTAACAATTCGTAATTACAGGGTCAAATTCTGTTAGCTGAGATAATGGCTCCCTCCAAACTGCTAACATGTTCCTCATTCGGTTATCCGGAACGATTCCCATGTTAACCGCTGAGGTGAGACTCTCTGAGCGTCAAACTCCAAGCCGTTTTGATCCCTCTTATGATTGCAGGGTCAAATTCTGTTAGCTGAGAATGACTTTCCTTCCATGTTGTTAACCCGTTCGTCATTCGGTCATCCGGAATGACTGCGTGTTAACCATGGGCTAAGATTTTCTGAGCATCGATTCTCCAAGCCGTCTTGATCCCTTTATCCGTTCATAAGTCTAGGGTCAAATTCTTTTAGCTGAGAATGATGGTCCTCTCCAAACTATTAATCCGTTCATCGTTCGGTCCTCCGGAATGACCACAAATCAAAGTTGAGATGAGCGCTTTCTGGAAGTTATGTCTCTCTCTCTCTCTCTCTCTCTCTCTCTCTCTATATATATATATATATATATATATAGAGAGAGAGAGAGAGAAAAGCAAACCTCTCGAAGGTGGAAAAATGGTACAAAATTGGGAAGGCCCGTATCAAATATGCAAGAAGTATGCTTCAGGAACGTTTGGCCTACGGTGTACCGAAGGTCGACCGGCAGGCACATGGAATACGAAACATTTAAGAAAGTTTTATCAATACGAAACATGTAGAGGTGGCAACAGCCGTTTTTATTGATAAAACTTTCTTAAATGTTTCGTATTCCATGTGCCTGCCGGTCGACCTTCGGTACACCGTAGGCCAAACGTTCCTGAAGCATACTTCTTGCATATTTGATACGGGCCTTCCCAATTTTGTGCCATTTTTCCACCTTCGAGAGGTTTGCTTTTTTCTCGCTTCCTTAGCACCAGGTACCCTACTTCGATTGAACGAATTTTAACTTGTTTGTCAAAGTATCTTCTCGTGGCCCTGTGATATTCTTCCATTCGTGCAGCTGCTAGATCCTTTCTTTCTTCTATGAAGTGCAATTCGGCTCGTAGGTTGTCCTCATTCCGCTCTGGGCTATAATGCACCGTTCGGTGTGTAGGAACTAGGACCTCCGTTGGTACTTTGGCCTGGAAGCCATAAGCAAGGGCAAATGGAGTTTCTCCTGTGGCCGTTCGGGGTGTGGTCCTGTAAGTCCATAGGATATAATTTAATTGATCAGGCCATGATGAGGAGTATTCTTCCAGCTTCTTCTTCATGTCGTCCATGATGGTACAGTTCATATTCTCTACTTGACCATTCGCCTGGGGGTATGCCACGGATGCTCTGGAATGCTTGATTCCCCATTTGATATAGTTCTCAAAATTCCGGCTCACAAACTGCCTTCCATTATCTGTTATAATCTGTTCGGGGAGTCCGAAACGACAAATGATATTCTTCCAGACAAACTTTTGACATTTGACATCTGTGATGCTAGCCGGTGGCTCGGCCTCCACCCATTTGGTAAAATAATCTATCCCAACGATGATGTACTTGTTGTTCCCAAGGGCAGTAGGTAGAGGACCTAGCAGGTCGATCCCCCACCTAGCGAATGGGAGGGCCACCGTCATTGGAGTGTAGAAAGTGGCTGGCCGTCCGGGGACCGGCGCATATAGCTGGCATACTTTACATTTTCTAGTATGCGCAAAGCAGTCTTGTTGGATGGTTGGCCAATAATACCCTTGCAGGATGATTTTTCTGGCCAGTGTCTTGGGCCCTTGGTGGCTTGAGCAGATGCCTTCATGAATTTCTTCCATTACCGCCGCCGCTAGATCGGGTGGGAGGTATTTCAAATATGGACCCCCAAACGTCTTTTTGTACAATTGTCTGTCCACCAGCTCGAACATGGAAGCCCTCCTCTGAATGCATTTTATCTGATAAGCGGGATTTTTATCTTGTGGGAGGGTTCCGTCTTTTAGGTAGTTGGTCATATCTATGACCCAACTGGGGATGGCATAAGATATGGCCTCGATCTGGAGCACCATGATTGCTGGGGTTGCCAAGGTTTCACGATGGGCAAACCGTTGGATATGAGCTTGAATCTCCTGTGCCCGATCGTCAAGCGCTGCATTTTCCAATTTGGATAAGATGTCTGCTTCGGTATTTTCTATTCTGGATATTTGGTCGAGCACCACCTGTTCAAATTTATTTATCTGTTCCTCGACTAGCTCTTTGTAAGCCTTCATTCTTTCCTATTTAGCCTCAGCTGTGCCATTTACTCGATTTACCACCAATTGACTATCCGACCGGACTTTTAACCGATCGGCGCCCAGGGTCTTCACATATTTTAAACCCGCAATAAGGGCCTCATACTCAGCCTCATTGTTGGTTACTTTGAAGTCAAAATGAATGGAGTAATATGCTTTGAACCCTTCGGGCGATGTGATCACGGCTCCGGCTCCACAACCCTTGGCACTAGCTGCACCATCCACATACATCTCCCACCAGTTATCCAGCACATTGTTCTCTGAATCTATTTCCGAAGGCCGAGCGGTACATTCTACAATGAAATTCGCCAGGGCCTACCCTTTGATAGTAGGTCGAGGCCTGAAATCCACCTCATATTGCCCGATCAGGAGACTCCACTTTGTAATGCGCCCACTTGCCATTGGGTTTCTCAAGATGGTGGCGAGTGGCTGAGTAGTATACACAGTTACCGGATGGGTCTGGAAATATGGTGCTAGACGTTTAATAGCAGCTATCAGGGCCAGTACTATTTTCTCCAGTAAGGTGTACCTGGTTTCTGACCCGTTCAAAGCCTTGCTTACAAAATAGATCGGCCGCTGGATGCCATCTTCTTTCAATAATACCGTGCTCATGGCCAGGTCAGCTACAGCAAGGTACATATACAGGTGTTCCCCTGGATCGGGTTTTGTCAAGACCAGGGGAGAAGATAGGTATGCCTTGAAATCTTCAAAAGCCGTTTGACATTCGGCGGTCCATTCAAAGGGGTTGGCTTTTTTCATGATCTGGAAGAATGGAATAGCTCGATCGGCTAGCTTGGATAGGAATCTGCTCAGAGCTGCTAACCGACTGGTCAATCTCTGCACTTCCTTGAGGTTTCTAGGAGTCTCCATATCTATAATTGCCTTTACCTTCTCAGGATTGGGCTTAATCCCCTTCTCGCTCATCATGTATCCCAAAAACTTGCCCCCTCTCACAGCAAAAGCACATTTTTTGGGATTCAGCCTCATGTTAGCTTTCTGCATTATCCCGAACACCTTTTCTATGTCCAGGATATGATTCTCCTTCTTCTGGCTTTTGATCAGGATATCATCAACATAAGTCTCCATTGTGACTCCCAACACCTCTTTGAAAAGCATCCTGATCATCCTTTGAAAAGTTGTCATTGCATTCTTTAACCCGAATGGCAGGACAATATAGCAAAACACACCATCTGATGTAACGAACGATGTTTTCTCTGCATCGTCTGGGTGCATGAAAATCTGATGATATCCTCGGAATGCATCCATGAAGCTCAACAATTCACACCCAGCCGTTTCATCCACTAACAGATCGATCCTCGATACTGGATAAGGGTCCATGGGACAAGCTTTATTCAGATCCGAGTAATCCACGCACATCCTCCAAGTCGATTGTTTTGGGGCTAGGACCACATTGGATAGCCATTCGACATGGATTACTGGATGGATGTATTTTATTCTCAGCAAGGTGGCCATTTCCTTCTTTGTGAAATCCCGCCGTTCGATCGCTTGGTATGGTTTCTTTTGTTGTACCGGTTTTGCGTCAGGTCGAATGACAAGCTTGTGACAGATTATTTCTGGGTCAATGCCCAGCATATCTTCCGATCCTCGGGCGAATAATACCTGAAACTTTTGTAGGACAGCAATCACGCCATCCCGAATGTCAGCCTCCAGATCCACCCCGATAGCTACCTTTCGGTCGGGGGGAGTCCAGGTCAATTTGCTCGAGGAGAGTGGCAGGTTCTGGGTGCACCTCGAACTCCGTTCGATGGGTCTCCACCTCAATACTGTTAACCCGCATTCCACGGGTGTTCATCTGCTTCAGGGCCTCTCGGTAGCACGTTCGGGTTGTAGCTGGATCTATTCTTGCCACCCCAACCCCAGTGTCCGTGGGGAATTTGATACACGAGTGGCGGACAGAGGCTATTGCCTCCAGATATTCCAATCCTGGTCAGCCCAAGATGGCATTATGGGCACATTTTATGTCCACCACCACGAACGTCATTCGGAGTGATGCCTTGTGCGTTTCGTCCCCAATTTCAACTAACAATTGAATGGTCCCCTCAGTCTCAATACAGTTACCGGTGAAGCTCGCCAGTGGGGTTCTTAGGTGGGTCAGTTGACTTCTCTGTAGGCCCATTTTTTCGAATGAATGTAAATACAATACGTTCACACTGGTCCCTGTATCGATCAGTACCCGGGGAATCAAAGCATTGTCAATGCACATGCTCACCACCAATTCATCTCTGTGCGGGTTTGGCGAGTTAGGTAAATCAGCCGGCCCAAATGTGATTGGGTCCGTCCTTCCTTTCTTCTGGGGGGAGTGGAGATGGATCCTACATAAAGACTTCGCTCGAACCATTTCTGTTCGGCGTTCGAATCCCCTGTTTCCCCGCCCCCCAAAATAACTTTGACCTCCATTCGAGGTTTCTTTCTGGGGCCTCCCGAGCCCTCTGGTTCGTCTCTGGGAGGAACATATACGTCATTCTGGGACTGGGCATCACGTTGGGCATCCCGTCGACAGCTGTTGGGTTTCCTGACCGGCTTTAAAGTGCCAACCGCACTTGGGTATTTACTTACGTACTTGCCCAGATGATCCCGCCGGATCAAGTCCTCAATGGACGTTTGCAGTGCCCTACAAGCATTGGTGGCATGACCTTTCCTGTTATGATATTTACAAAAAGCAGACTCGTCTGCTCCCATATAATTTGAAGAATCAATCGGAAGGGGAATGTTGTCCTTCTCGTTCTGATAAATGGTTGCTACGGACAGGACCAAGGGAGTAAATCGCCCTTGCTTAGGAGGGAGAGCGGCCATTGGGGTAGGACCCAGCCGATCGGCCATCTTGATTGGGGCAGTAGGCGCAGCGACCTTGTCCCTGATCATAATCTCTTCTTCTAGGGCAGCATGCTTGCGGGCTCTGTCTAACACCTCGGCATACGCCGTACCCGGATTCTTCTTCAAATCCTTGTATAATTCTCCCATTCGGAGAGCGTTTGTGAATAGGGTGATGGCGGTATCATCCGTCATATTTCCGACCGTCAGAGTTTCGTCCCTCCATCTTTTCAAGAATTGATTAAGAGTTTCTTTGGAGTTCTTCTTCACGCTAGTCAGGTAGATCAAATGACGTTTTGGGTTGGCACT